CTGTCAACTTGTTAGTTTTCGCCTGTAGATCTTCGAGTTTGTGTGACATCAGACACAATCCATCATCGGCGAAATCCAAATCTCCTATGATCTCTTTATCGGTTCGGCCAGCGTATGCCAATTTTCTCACTCCACACAGTTATCTGTTGCATGATCCAGCCAAGTGGACCATAGTCAGGAAGATCATCGCTGGTATTGAGCGGCAACCTTGTCTTACTCCTGTCTTCATGACTTCAAAGGGATCAGTGACCAGAGCTTTCCAATGTGAATCACTTTGATATAGCTGTTGGTAAAGGTTGTGACGCTAAAACCGTAGTATTGAAGCCGCAGCTGCCAAATTACTTCTTAGTCGACGCCAGGGCTTTTTCTAGATCTTATTAATTATTAATATCATGGTAACTTTTCTTTTACACGTAAACGTACATTTTCATTTTAATCATGAGAATGTCGTATGGATTAACCATATGTTCGTAAATACAGAGCGAATAAGTTTGTACAGCCCAGCTACTGAATCCTAAACATTGTTGAACTATGACTTGACGGATGTATCTATTGTACCTTCATTCTATATTTAACTAAGTAAGCAGACTACAATCTTTGGACTGGTTACAGTTCTAGGGAGAATAGCGTCAGAGAAGAAGCTATGAACTAATAGTTTACAGAAGATGTACTTCACAAGTTTTAAGTAAGAACTTCTTACGTGCACTGCCTACATTATTTCCTTACTCCTGTTTGACTGGTTCATCATCTACCATGATGGTTTTTCTTTGTCTAATTTGATAAAATCGTAGCAACAGACTATGAATCGTGTAAAAATGTGAATGAATGTATATAATATAATAAGAGGATACAATAAAATGTAATAAAGTAAACAGAAACTTGAGAAAATTTGATACAGCATGTGAAATGGAATGTTCTGTAGTCAAGATATTTGAGCAAACTGCCAGCAGATGTACATTGACCATCACTTCAAGTGAATGACGATTTGTGCAACAGCTCCAACAGAATAATGTCACCGGAGGCAAGTATTTATGTGCTTAACAAGCATACTGAAGAAACCTCTGGTAATCTAGCTGAAGATATGCGACGACTGTGGGTGTTCGACCGTCGATGTCTCCAAAGAATTGGTTGCATCTAGCAAGAATATCATGTAAGTAGTTGTGAGGTGATATGTCATGTATCCCGATATGTTCAGAATTACCACTCATTAGATGAAGTTATTTTGAAACACCGCCTTCTGTGGCTTGTGTACGTGAAATGTTTTTCTTGACAGAAGCTTCCAAGCCTCTCACTGTTCGCTTACCCTGAAACTAGCTGCATGAAGCGGAAATGTAGTTAGTTCACGATGCATCACTGTGTGAAGAAGGATAGCATCAGTAAATATCTCACGACTCCCTGGATATAGGTCCCAGACATCATGCAACTCAGGGGTTTTGGATGACAGCAGATCTGGCTGAGGATGGATGTGGTGCAGCTTTATTATTTCTTGTATGACAGGAAAACAGAAGAGAAGTCTTAAGTTATTGTTGTGATGCCTCAGTTTTGTATAAAACATTGTTATTGATCTGAACATTTTAACATGTCATTCCCACACCAATGGCGGACAAAGTCATTTTCATGTGTATACTTATTCACGTGTTTTGGATTGATTGGGATGAACTTATTTAGAAGTAAACTCTCCCATTTGCCAGCTTCGGTCTTCTTTCTATTCCTTCCGCGGTTGAAGTCAGTGGCTTTTGCGTACTAAGTTAGCTGTCAGGTAAACGTGCGTATTTTATCGTTCGGTATGTATAACCATTAGCTTTCGAAAGTATAACAGTGGCGACGGGGATTGGATCAAAAATGGATTACTCGAAGCTGGACAGATTTCTCGAAAAACAGATGAAGATTATCGCGTTATTGACTCAGTCCAGAATTTCTGCACCTGAATCACCGAACCCTACGCTTGGTATATCAGCCCCTACAGTCGATGGAATTGCGACCAGTATCACAGAATTTCATTATGATCCTTATTCTAATGTGACTTTCGATACTTGGTTCCGAAGATATGAAGACTACTTCAAAGTTGATTTTGTTAGTCAAGATGATACATGAAAAGTTCGTCTCCTTCTTCAAAAACTTGGTCCATCCAAATTAGATCAGTATTGCAATATAGTACTGCCACAGAAATCAAGAGACCGCTCCCTCGATGCCGCAGTACAGACCCTGAGACAACATTTTGGTGGTCATTCGTCTCTTTTCAATGCTAGGTATCATTATCTTAAACCAGTCATGAAGGAGAACGATGATTTTCTCAGTCATGTTGGTATTGTTAATCGTGAGTACGAAAAATTCAAGCTGAAGTCCATCACCGATGATCAATTCAAATCGCTGATACTCATATGCAGCTTTCAATCGTCCAAGTTAGCAGATATTAGGATGAGACTGCTAAATCGGTTGGAACAAGACAGTTTCTTTTGCAAAATGTGCTATATTTCCTCTTCTGCTTCTCTCTTGATTTGCTCTTAATACGCCCACATTATCTCTTGCGTTTCTTTGGGCAGGATCCTTCCCCTTTGCTGATAATTCCCTATGATTTCTGCAACCCTCTCAGCGTATACTACTTATATCCATTGTAGTCAGCAACGCCCACTACAAATGTACTGATGACAGTGTCTATCTGGTATGACATGACAACTCTAGCTCAGAGAAAAACTCATTCTAAACACATGTGGTTCTAGAACCTCACAATCAAATGCACACAAACAAGTATCAGAAATCGGAGGACGACACACCACGGTCATTGAGAGAATAAGAAAGAAAACGATACTCACGTTTGCTTCAGAGCACAGGTGAAATAATTCTACGATTAATGTTATATACTTATGTTCATCTGCACAGCTGGACGTCAAATACACGATAATGATTATGGTTTTACTCTCTTGGAGTCGCTTTAGATAAATGACAAGCTTATGAACTCCAGTTTTCCGAGTTTCATGGTCGTGAAGACTATTAAACCAGTGAACATAAACTTCTACATTTACAAAGAGACAATTGTTAATCTTGTTATATTGCGATGAATTTATCTATTATTTCAAAGTGGTATTCATTATGGACAGCTGTTTCGTCCTAGCATGGGACTCCTCAGCAGTGAGAATCTAGGATCTTTACACCAGGATAAAATATCCGTTAGGTGCTTTCACATTTTCAATGGTTCTCCAATTGATGTCAGTCTGTGATAAAAACCAACCTGAAGGTAATAACCGAGCAGAGGTGAGGATAAATACTCAACGATGACAATACGTGATAGAGAAAATGTAGACATTGGGATACCGATCCAGCGTCAGGATAATAGTGCGCACGCCACAGGATCCGAATGTTTTGGGTTCGATCTCTGGTATGATCATGAGTGAGCAGTACTCAGAGTTCCTACTCTGGGTTGAAATAGCTATTCAGTACTCACAGATTATTAATGCCATAGTGATTATCAAGCGGGAGACTTTATCTTTGAGATAGTAACTCTGAAGACGTGCGTGGTAACCAGCACAAAGGGAGCAGAAAATGGGACCGAACCCTGTTTGGATGCATGTTAGTTAAAACAAAGCTTAAAACATCTTAAGTATCGGATGGTGAGCTAAAAGGTTTTTTAATTAATATTTAGTCAATTCAGTTTGATCTATTTATTCCAATCTTAGTAACCTTTTCGGTGCCAGGGAGGTGGACTTCAGAGGTGGGAAAATGTATTATTCCTCTTTATTATCCCAATATTTTCCAAAGAAAGGGTGAAATATTGGTGAAAAACAATAGAAAGCGGTAAAAAGGGTGGAAGAGGAATGAGAAAATGCTCCCAATCTTTTTCCACCCTGAAACTACTTCAGCTAACAATGAGCGATGCTATACAACAAGTTCTGTTAGGAGTTCTAGGTTTACTGCGATGAACTAATAACTATTTTATAAGAGGTGGTCATCGTGCCTCAATGGCTTAGAGGATAACGCTTGATCATCTGTATGCGTGTTGCTGTCACCTATCAAACTAGAAACCAGAACCGATGGCTTGTAAGCCAGGGTACTCACTCACGATATCCACTTCTTTCTACGTTTACGTCATTCATTCATCATGAAACAGTATCATTTACTAGATAACGTTTCACTATATGGAAACGAACCAACCACGAACATGTCGCTCAGCAAATATGCAGAAGGAAGTGAAGATAGGATTGGGCATGCACTAAGAAGACCATTCGAGGAGATCACACAACAGGCCAGGCACTCGGGTGGAAGCGACGAGTTGGGCGTGCGAGGGTGACATGGAGGAGATCGTGCGAGGAAGAAATTAGAGCTACTGGGCAGTGGTGGAGCCAGGTTCAAAAGTTTGCGGAGGACGGAGTGCACTGGAGATGTGCTACTGAAGGTGTATATTCCACTAGGAACCCAAGGGGCAAATAATAATAATAATAATAATAATAATAATAATAATAATAATAATAATAATAATGTGACATTTCCAGTAAACAGACTAAAGCGAAATTAAAGTCTACTGAAGTGTTCAACTTCTACTCCAATATTTCACCACATTCACGTTCCATGATATCAATGTATTTCCAGTTCTCAATCAGACGTTATTGTTAAATGAAATGGATAGCATAAACTTTATTCCCTTGTAAACTGTTGGTATGAATCCCTGAAATGTAATGAATATCTATCATCTCTATCCTTTTCCTTTGCTTTTTTATTTGAAGGGGATATTGTAGCGTAGTTTATGTATTCCCTAAAAAGCGGATATCGTGTATATCAAACACCTAATTTATTAATATACTCGTTTAAAAATTTATTTAATTCCGTTCATCAGAATTGCTACAATATTTATATAAAAAACTTCACCTACTTATGAGTAGTTCAAATAAATATACTAAATTTTATCGGGAATTCACGGTGTGACGAGAAGAATTTGATTTATTATTTTTTTGATAGACATAATAAATCTAGATGCATTTTAAAACAAAATTTAGTAATATCAATTTTCAATGTTGAAAAATATTCAAAGTCAAATTATTTGGCTTCATTGATATAGGAATTTTTATAATCTTTTGTTTACGTAATTGTTTTGTATGCTCGTTAATTGATTTTATCTCTTTTGCTCTACGTTCTTGTATACTGGTTTCAATATTAAATTTATCGCATATTTGATTCCATCGAACTGTTTCAACTAATTGATTTTGATGTTGTTTAACTGTTTCAACTGATTTGTTTAAACCGTATCTAAAAGTGAATAGATAGAGATGAGTTATGTTAATCAGTAAATGTGATTGGGTGAATGAATACTAATCAGACCTGAAATCAGAACAACCGATTTTGAAAGCTGTACAGAGTAATGCAGTAGGCAATGAGCCACTCCCACTGTGTTGCTTTATGGTAGTATAAAAATATCTCAGGCTTTGGTAGGTGGAACGGTTTCCAGATCTGTGACCAATTAGCTTAAAGCCAACTCACTGGAGAACTAAGACACAACTCAACTCTGTTGCCGATAGGCTGATCACTGAAGAGTAGCCAGTTTTACATTGTCTAGTTCCAAGTGCTAACCAAATTCCATTTATTAGTTTTCTCTAAGGTCACCCAACTAGGATACTCACCATCGTAGTGCAGTTTAGTAGATGTTAGAGGCATAAAGGAAGCACTGCTTAACGAAAGTTTAGCGTAGGGTGAATGCAGTTCTACAGGAGGTCAGTCGCTCCCCAAAAATCTCATTGGCAGCATTACTGACTATAACATTAAGTGTCACAGTTTAGATTCTCACATGGGACATCAATTCCCTCGGGTTTGAAAATTCAAATTGTTTCTAAGTGCCAACTAGCACAAATCCTCGGTTAGTCAGGGCTTTCTACTGATAACCTCCAACAGCTAAACACATACAAGATACGCCTTGAAAGGGAAGTGAATCAGGAAATACTATACAAACAATAGATCCATTTTTTTGACCAGAGTATTTATCTTCAATTAAATTGTTATGTACTCAATACATGATATGTTGGTAATGAGGAGTTTCCAAATGGAAATTGTCGAACACCATCTAATTCCCTTTAGCTTTTAAAAATAGTTGAGATGATATAAAATTTCGATGAAGACGCTCAACATTACTTATTGAGGAGTTATACGAATAGATGTCACAAGCAATGGACGGAGTATTCCAGATGTACATTGAATAGCGAAAGGAAGTTCAACAAAACGAGTGAAGTTTCAGACAAGGGAGATAAACAGGTTCATGGGTGCGCACTACGAAACTACCAAACAGCTATCCAGTGCTTCCAACTTGAAATATCTCTAAATCCCAACAAACGTTCAAATTCAATTGATCTAGTGCTCATTAATGGCTAGCCTCGAGAGGTGATTCCTGAAGTCCCAATGAGAAGTAATGATCATTGCAGTAAACCTGATGGCCATGAGGACAAATACTCAACGACGACATTGGTTGATAGTTACGTTATGTTATGAACTGATAGAAGTTGGAAATATAAACTATCGGGTCCTGACGGAGTGGCTCAATAGTGACGTACTGACCACGGAACCTGAAGGTCCCAGGTTCGAACCCTGGAGAGGTGGCGTCATGGGTCCGCACACCTAAGGAGTCTCATACTCGGGAGAAATAGCTGTGGAGTGCTATCAGGTTTCCAATGAATGGCAATTTGGGAAATATAATTGAGTACTATTAGATTTATCGATAACACTCAGAACTGTTTGATGTCCATGACAAAGTCAAAGGTTGAACGTATGTCTCCCGGATGTATAGCTCTGGTTCTTACTCATGTATGGTTACTGTTTCAGCTGAACACAAATGCTCTGAGCTCATACTCTTTAAGTGGCTTGGTCGAAAATTAAGCAGGATTTCGAAAGAGTTCTCTCTCTCTCTCTCATAATATATTCTCTCATTAGTCAGCTTGAATACTGTTCTTGAACGCATTTTATGTGCGGGCGGGTGGTATAGAGGATGTAATCAGCAAGTAAACTGGTTTAAGCAGATTGTACAAAAAAGCATTTAACATTGTTTTCAAGTTGCAAGAATGTATTTACTGTGGAAAATGTCTTCACAATTAGTTTTGTTATTTGGTTATCAATTGACTATCTGAGATAGCCGTACTTTGGCCGCAGGTCAAGTTTACATCTCACCTTCAATTATCACCCAATATAAAATACTAGTCTGGCAAACTAAGGCTATCTCAGATAGTGAAAATGATAATCTATATGATGGTCCCTCTCTTTAATTCAGTTAGATTTGGATTGTGATGAGAAGTCCTGACTAAGCAGCCAGTGTGAATACAATCACATGGTAGTAACACGTCACGAATCCAAATGTTATATTATTATTTGTCCCTTGGGTTCCTAGTGGAACATACGGCGTCAGTAGCACGTCTCCAGTGAACTCTCTTCTCTGCAATCCTCATAATATCTCCTTCATGTCACCTTCACCTCCGACGCCCAACTCCTCGTTTCCTATCTGGGTTCCACTCGAGTGCCTGACCTGATGTGTGATCTCCCAGAATGGTCTTCTCAGTGTATGCACAACTCATCTCCACTTCCTTACACTGCATATTTGCTGAGCGATTGGTTCTTGCCTCGTTGGTTCGTTGCCAGCCAGCCAGTCAGCCAGAGTTCCTTGTTGCTTATTCACATTATCCTGGCCATCTGAGCTTCAGTAACGAGCCAGCGTAGGTGGCAGTTGTTGATGAATGTCTGTAGTTTGTTGCAAATGCTTTTCGTAATGCTCCTAGTCTCTTAACCATCACAGAGAAGAACTGACTTACTTGACTGAATTGGTGTTTAAAATCCGGATGTTGTTCACGCTTTATGCTGAGTGGAGTGCAGAAGATCTCCACACTGGTTTCAGGTTAATGCAGGAAGGCCTGTCTTGCTGTCTTTCCGATCCTGGCTGCTTTGACGTCCTTGTGTGTGCCACCAGGCCTGTAGTTGAGACAGTGCTGCCTAGATAGGTGGAAGAGGCTGCTTTCTTTAAGTTTCTCCCTTTGATGGTGATTGGAACTTGATCTTCATCACCTCTACCTCAACTTTATCGACTTTGAGAAGGCCTTTGACAGCGTCGACCGAGAAGTAATTTGGAAACTGCTTCATTACTACGGAGTACAGCAAACCTTTATCAGCCTCATTCAACAACTATATGAAGATGCCACATGCCACATAATTCATAATGGGAAGCTTAGTGATGCTTTTGAAAATAAGACAGGAGTGATATTCCTGATTGTGGTCAACTGGACTGGATCATGCAGCAAACAGTGGGCAGCGGGAAGAGGGGGATACACTGGACTGAGGAAAAGAACCTAGAAGACTTGGATTTCGCCGATGACTTATGCCTAATGTCACATAAACTTGAAGATCTGCAGGCAAAAACTAACAAGTTGACAGAAGAGGTAGGGCAGCGAAGACGGGACTTCAGGTGAATATAGAGAAGACAGAAGTGATGAAGATACCGCACCACCACCATCAACAACAACAACAAACTCCAATCACCGTCAACGGGAGAAACTTAAAGGAAGTAACCTCCTTCACTTATCTAGGAAGCACTGTTTCAACTACAGGCGGGACAGACGAGGATGTCAAAGTCAGAATCGGAAAAGACAGCAAGATAGGCGTTCATTAGCCCAAAACCACTGTGGAGATCTTCTGCACTCCACTCAGCATGTGGAACAACACTCGGATTTTCAACACCAACGTCAAGTCAGTGCTTCTGTATGGCTCAGAGACTTGGCGCGTCACGAAAGGGATTTCCAATGAACTACAGACATTCATCAACAACTGCATACTCTGGCTCGCTACTGAAGATCAGATGGCCGGGATAACAAGAATAAGCAACAAGGGGCTCTGGGAACGAACCAACCAAGAACCTATCACTCAACAAATATGCACTGGGAGGAAGTGAAGATGGATTGGGCATGCACTGAGAAGGCCGACTGGGGACATCACGCGTCAGGCCAGGTACTCGAGTTGAATCCCCATGGGAAGCGACGAGTTGGACGTCCCAGATGAGGGTGACATGGAGGAGATCGTGCGAGGAGGAAATGAGAGCTTGTGGGCTGTCGTGGAACCAGGTTCAAAAATTTTAAACCCAAAATAATTGGAACTGAACCAGTGAATCTCTTAATGTATAAGGAAAATAACTGACATCAGTCAGACAGTCACTGAAATATTTATAGCAGTGAAGATTATTTTGTCCTAGTATGCGATTCTTCAAGAGTACTCACTCACAACCCTGACAGGGGTTAAACTCGATTCCGTCAGTTTGCAACATAGTGTGACTACGCACGACTATTTCCATTTGATCTTGAACTAACTGTACGTATATTACGTAACGATGCATACTATATCTATCTGAGGGAATTCATTCTATAATGTAGATACTTTATAACAGTTGAGTTGATGTCACATGCAGAATTTACCGCAAATCTGTTCATAGTAGCACGATTACATACAGAAAGGGAGTATAATTGTATAGGGGTATAGTCAATGCTTCATTCAGTCTGTGGTTTGGTTGATGGTGTCTATCAATGAATTCTATGAGACGCTCTTCTTTTTATGTGGAATTCGTCAGTTGAATGAGTCTGTATCCTAGTGAATGATGTTTCTTCGATTATCGACGAAACATACCTTCTGAATTCCAAAAATATTCAGGCATTATTGTGACATCCTCATAGTAACCCAAGTAGGAAAGGTACGGATTCAGTATTGTTAATTGTATTACCCCACCGTTGATTAAATCGAACTTCAGCAGTCTCCACTAACTTATGACCTCCTACGCTAAAGCTTCGATATTAGGTACGTTTCGATTTTATATTATTGATGGTGAGTGGATAACAGCGGAATCGCAGCATGAGCGTTTCGTCCTATTTGGGACTCTTTAACTACATGTACTAACCGACTCCCAGTCAGTGATATTGTTCCTATTAGGCCACTGCAAAGTGGTTAACGTAGCTTACTGACCTAGCTAGCAACGCTCGAGCATTTCAAGTGATCAGTTCTGAGTTGGACTCGTACTGAGAACAACAACACTGACTAGAAGTCAGCAGATACATCTAGCTGATTAGTCTCAGGTAGAACAAAACGCTTATCCTAGGATTCCTCTGCTAACCACTATTCATCATTAATATAAGAAACATATTCCTTTAGAGTGAATTCAGTATTGCTTATCTTATCTCTCTGAAAGTGTATTTATACTCACCTTATTTCATTTGTATAATTCTGTAAGTTTAAAAGTTGTTGAAACTTTTCTTCAGTATACTTCTTTCTGTTCAATAATCGTTTTTCATAATTTATATGATCTTGAGTTAGTTGATACATTTTTCTTACTTCCTTATGAATATTTGCAAGATATTTCATTTGTTCACGATTAGATTTTAATTTTTCAATTAGCTTAAAAAGAAATGAGAATAACAAGAACTTTAATTGCTGTATAGTAACAAATGATTAATATCAAGGTGGTATTCAGCATAGATTAGCGCCAGTAGTGGAACAGTAAAAAACATGAGAGCGTTGATCACCTGTTTCATGCCAGCATGAGGATGCTCAGTAGTGTGAATTCACCATCTCATCAGGGATCGAGCTTATGACTATCACTGCTTATGTTCAGTACATTACCATTTAGTCGATGAGATAGAATTCAATGGTTCACATTTTCCTAATCCTTTCGATTCATGATGTAGCGCAACCATCATCCGATACCAGCGTCGAGTATTTATCCTCACTCACGACTTGGTTGATCCATAATGTCACATATATTGTGATTAGAACTTTGTGAAATCTATCTTGAAGCATGTCATTAATCAGCACTAGACAGTAATGTGATCTATGATGGGGGAATACCATACTAGGACGACTCAACTGTCGCAGTTCTTCAACAATTCTCCAGCTGATATCACTTTGTGGTGAATATCATCTTTCAATCCATAAATCATCATGAACCTTTATATATTGTAAATTTCTTGGAAAGAAATTTGATATCAAACCAGCTAAACAATTTTTCAAGAAATAAACCAAATGGTGAAGTCACGTGTGATATCCAAAACACATGATTTGTCTGAAATATGGCTGTGCATTAATAAGGAGTATGTGATTAATTGAATCTCGCCTGGTTAACTAGTTCACTAGTTACTAGCCGGTCCTAATCCCGGATAAACAGGGAAGCTTGGCATAGGGCTGGCGACCCTACCCCGTAAAACCAGTCCAACCGCTAAAGAAACTTCAAAACACAGACAAAATACAAAAAATAAAAACAAACTTATTCCTAGCTGGAATCGAAGAGACGAAATGACGCCGGTTGGTGAAAGCATTCGGGAAGCCAGTCGGCCGATATGTCCTCTCTTCTCTCAATGAAATCCAAAGTAAGAATGAGGACATGGAATGTCCACAACATGTATGAACCTACTCAGACTGCCCAGATTGCAAACGAGATGAGAAGATATAGCATAGATGTGCTAGGCTGGGAATCTGCGAAGAATCTGCAGATGGAATGGAAGTCGACTCTTCAAACTGTCAACTGGATAGGAGTCAATAATCTACTCTAATATTGTCACCCAGACGACAACTATGAGCACAGTGAGTTTTGGAGTGATTATCATGATTTCCCCTTGAAGAGGATGGAAGGCTCACTCTCAGGCAATGGGAACCAATCTCCTCCACCATCAGGATCACGACAGTGAGATTCAACTCGAAGGGAAGGAAAGTCACAGTCATATAGTGCTACGCTGCGCACCTACAAATAATGCAGGTAAAGAGAAGGAGGAGGAATTCTACAGACAACTGCTATCAGCAATGGACAAGACCTCAGTTAGTGACATCGCAATTCTAATGGGTGGGGTGACATGAATGCCAAATTGGGAGCGGACAACACAAGTAGATAACTAACTATGGGTAGAGAAGCACTCGATGCTGATACTGAAGATCAGATGGATAGAAAGAGTAAGCAACAAAGAACTCTGGCTGGCTGACAACGAACCAACCAAGAACCTATCACCCAACGAATATGCAGAAGGAAGTGGAGATGGATTGGGCATGCACTTGACAAGACCATTCGGAGATATCACGCGACAGGCACTCGAGTGGGAAACGGCGATTCGGTCGTCTGAGTCGAAGGTGACGTAGAGGAGATCGTGTGAGAAATAAATGAGAGCTTGTGGGCAGTCGTGAAGCCAGGTTCAAAGATTGGAGAGAACATAGTGGAATGAAGACGTGCTACTGAAGCCGTATGTTCCATGGGACAAATAATGATAATAGTAATAATAATTTTGAAGGTATCCTAACCAACAGTGGACTGGATAGTTTGAAAAAAACTTGGGCACTGAGTTAGTATGATTCATTGTATAGGATATATTTTTACTTGTGTAATCCCGGCGTAGTATATTAGAACAAATATGTTGTGCATTATTCCTCAACGCTTCGATCTTGCTAGGAAGATCTTTTTCTTCAAGAGTATGAATGTGAGACATTAAGTTTTCTGGTTAATATTCAAGTTTTGGCACAGAAAGTGGTGACCTTTACAATCATCCAATTACATAGTGATGTAGAGCAAAGATCAATCTAATACAGGTGAGTGAATAAGCAACTCGGTCAAAGAGGTTACTCCGTTGTGCTGGTAAGGTGGAACAAAAATAGGGTGGGGAAAAAGTTTTCAGTTTATCTATGAAAAGTATGATGGGGTTGTGAGACATCAAGGGTGAGATAGAATAGATTACTAGTTTGGAAGAATGAATATTTGAAGATGAGACAATATATCTTTAATAAATAATAATAGTAATAATAATAATGCTAACCATAAATGTACTTTTGATAACACTCGAAGTATGAGTGACAACAAAAGAGATTATGTTTAGTAATGATGGGCAGTGGCTAGTAGTGGAATCCAGGATGCGCATTTCGTCCTATTTGGGACTCACTAGTCAGCTGGATGTACCTGCTTCCCAGTGAGTGATGTTGTTCCCACCGGAACTGGATTCCTGGATTCCACTGCTAGCCACTGCCCAACATGACTAAACATAGTTAAAAGACAGGCAATATCGAGGCATCCTCATGGGAGCCCATATGCCAACAGAAACTGATCAATTCGGTCCAATCAACGACGGTGTAATACAGGCAATAACACTAAAAGAGATTATGTCATGGTTCATCGAATGTATATGACTCACAAAGTAGTGTAAAATTAATGAAAATAGTAGACCAATAAAGTGTACGTAATAGGACTAGACGATCTGTTTAAATGTAACCATTTTTTTCTCCTTTCTTTCGTTTCTCTTTTGTCCTCGTGGTTAAGACGATTAAGAGAAATTACACAGGAGACTATTCAAACAAGAGTGAATTGGGAATAAATAAATCATGTGGAATGAATTTGTGTTCTACCTTCTCTTCAGATATTATTTATAACTGCCTAGGCGAGTCATTAGTGTTTCCCACTATATTAGTGGAATGTCTAACCCATCTTTTCTGTTGACCGATGAAGGATATGAACAGATGTGCAAAGCTTCTGCAATGGTCCCCACTTTGTGAGGAAGAAAACCCTTTTGCAGAACTTTTGTCTGTTCGAATGATATCTTATAACTTGAATATAGGGCATGAGCTGCGATAGCAGAGCTTTTTTCAAGTTTTTCTAGATCATAAGAATTTTTTGGTGTTTTTTGGAACTTCGACCGTATTCGACTAAACGTGTTAGTACTTGACGTGATGTCTCTCCAATATATGTGGCATCACATTCACTACAGTCTACCTTATCAACACAGTTTTGTTGTTCCAAATGACGAATTGGATATTTTAATTTACATAGGTGTGAGTGTAATGTATTCGTCACTTTAAAGAATACTCTGATGTTGTAACGGTTATGGATACATCTTATTTCCTCTGAAGTGGATGTTCGATAAGGAAGTACTGTAGTACTTATCCAATCTTATGGCTTGACTTTTTCATGTTTTTATTCGATAAACTTTTTTCGATCCTGTTTAATAGTTTGTCTGGATAGTTATTTTGTCTTAAGACTTCCCGAACAAGTTGCCTATCTGCTTGCTGAGATTCCACTTTATTTGGTATCCTTTGCGATCTCGTCAACAGATTTTTGGCAACTTTTAATTTAGTTTCCAATGGATTAGCCAAATCGAAGTCAAGGTCCTTGTTAGAATGTGTATCTTTTCGATAGACATCAATGTCAAGTATCCCATCATTGTTTCGTATCGCCTTGCAGTCAAGGAAAGCTAACGTCCTGAATTCTGTTCCTAGTTCACATATGAATTTTACAGTATTAAAACGGTTGTTTAGGTATTCAAAAAGACTTTCTAATCCTTGCTTTTTGGTTATGACGAAGGTGTCATCAACATACCTCCACCATACTCTTGGTTTTAAATTATCTTGGTTAAGTAGGTCTGATTCTACTTTGTGCATGTATAAATTAGCCACAATGGGTGAGACAGGTGAACCCATTGCTACCCCACTGGTTTGACGATAAAAGTCCACTCGAAAAGTAGAATAGGTTGAGGTCAGACATAATCTCAGTGCATCACAGATTTCACAGATGGAAATATTACATCTAAGAGATAAAGAAGTATCCGACTCTAATAAAAGTCTAACAACCTGTATGCTTTCATCACTCGGAATATTAGTATACAGAGAAACAACTTCAAAGCTAATCATTATTCCATCATCTTCAATCGTTGTTTGTAATAATTTATGTTTAAAGTCTAATGAACTCTTAATGATACTTACCAAATTGTCTTGTAACGGTTTAAGGATTTTTGTGAGGTACTTTGAAAGATTATATTTTGGGGAATTCGTAAAATACACAATTGGACGAATCGGAAAATTGGGTTTGTGAATTTTGAGAAGGCCATAGAAGCATGAAGCAGCATAACTTTTTGGTGCTAAATTAAACCACAAGGCATTCCCTAATTTCGATTTCAGATTGTATAGCAGTTTGTTAATCTACAGTTTTACCTTGTTAAGTGTAGGCTTACGTTTCTTGTTTTCTATCATTTCATATGATCCACTACATAGGTGCTCTGTAACCTTTTGTTCATAGTCTGATGTATTCATGACAACGGTTATGTTTCTTTTGTCAGCTTTCATAATCCGTATGTTCTTATCATTTTTTAAAGAGCGAACAGCACGTTCCTCTATTATCGATATGTTCATATATGACCGTTTTTGATTAATTAGAACATGTGAGACTTTATATCTAACTTCTTCTGCGATATCCTGTTGGATTAGTTTTAGTACCGGTTCTAATGACGCTGCGACTTCGAGTATGGTCATTGGTGGGCGATTTAAATTAAAGTTTAATCCTTTGGATAATAGTGAATTTCCCTCATTTGTGAGGACGCGATCGCATATACTACATAATACTTTGAGATTAGATGATTTTGTTTTGTTGCATAATATTTAATTTGTTAGGGTTTGGACTCAGAGCATTGAATTTCCTTACCTGCCTTAATTTGGCTTTTTTTCATACAATAATCCTGTCTTCCTTTCATGAAGTCAAATACATCTTAGGCCATCATCGAGGTTTTTTTATACGATTCCGATACGATTCAAGCTATACTACGCTTTCATGTGTTCTTTCCCGCAAAAATGTTTTTGTGACGGATTTTACTGTGATATGTGAACGATGAGATTTCAAAGCGAATTTAAACTTCAAGGATTTGGGAATTACATCAGAATTTAGACAGCGGACGTTGAAAATGCAATGGTTGTACTGATTTGAATATAACTTTGAAAACCTAATGCAGTACAGAAATAACTTTGAAGGTATTCTGACCAACAATGGATTGGATAGTTTGAAAAAACTTGGGCACCGAGTTAGTATGATTCATTGTATATGGTGTATATGGAATAAAGTTGCAGGTGAAGTAATTTGACAGAAAAAACTATACTACTGAATAATAACAAGTAGTATAAAACTAAAAGTATAACAAATTGACAAGATGGATGGCATAGTTTAGCAGAACAAGGTAAAACAAGAGTTAACAATCAAGATATAACTTGATGCATTAGAGAAATGATTCAGAATTAAAGTTTAAAACAATAAGAAACTGGTTACTACTTAATTGACAGCACGAAAATTAGCTTGAACAAACCGAAGGAGTCAATCGAAACGTCACATCTGAACTATCCAAGCTTGATGGTTTGTCTACAGAATGAAACATTGACTCTCAAGCTATGTCAAGCTATGGTAACCAGCAGACAAATCGGTGATGTGAAAAACTCATTATTCGTAGTGAGAACATGAGTTTACACTGAACTATTTAAGATTTCTACACCTTTCTAGCCATCCATTCATGATGTAAGGCTGAGAATCCCTTCAATTCTGAAGGATCAGGTAATTATTATATACGTCTACCAATGAGCTGATATTCAAAAGATACTGTATTGAACTGTTCGATGGAACTTTGAAGTTTCACTGATCTCGACAGATTACCAAAGGCATTGGAAGTGACCAGTCATGTTGTATTCGACTGTGTGGTCAGTCTCAGAAGCTGAAAATTATGGAATCCACTTCTCTGACTATACATACGTTTATGTGCAATTTCCAGACTGATAATTTCAGTTGAGTTGAATGGAATTATTTTTCATATCATCGTCTTTTAGTAGTTGCTAAGTCTGAAGGGTTTTTCATGTATCTAAGTTTGAAACAAAGGAAAAGATTCTGGACAAGAAGCATAGTTTACCATTAGGTTGTACAATCTTCATTTAACCCCCTTAATATCTACCATTTAACTAAATTAAATTCGAAAAGTGTAATTTCTCTTCATTTAATGTTTTAACGCTTAGAAAGAAACTGTTGCTTCTGTATTGATGCTTTCAAGGTCATTCGAAAGTCACTCAAGGACGGTTAAATTGTATAATTCCACCAAATTCTCTCCTATTGTGAACTATTTATTAATCGTAACCTTTTCCTAAAGTTTTATTCATTATATTGACACAACCTTGTTTAACTAATGTATCATATCTAAAATGAGGTTACCTGTTCATTTTTACTATTTATCTTAGTGATTCAAATAAATTCGATTACATACATGAAGTAGATGTGTTATTACTGAGCGATACAAGATGGAAACACTTTATGACAAATATACTTAGCCAACATTGGACTTATCAGCCCAGTGTATATATACTGATCGTTCGATTAAAACGCTAGAACCACGTTCATCATGACTCTGATGAATAAGAACCACCTTTCGGTATTATCGAATCGGTTGACCTGTGTTAGGAGATAAATTCCTACATAGTTACCTTGATAACGCTTAAATATCTGTTATGTTGTAAGTTTACTTGACGATTAGTAGCGGAATCTAGGGCTCAAGTTTCATCTTATTTACGGCTGGACATTATTTAGTATTCAGGGAATATTAAGGCATCCGCATAGGAATCAATGTGCTAAAAGGAGTCGATCTGCTCTATCCAGTATAGCAATGAGGAATTACAAGTATCCACAAATAATATTCTATATTTAGTATGAATATATGTTGTAGACGAGATTATGAAGAGTAGCTTTGGTTTTGTTCACTGGTCTCTATATTCCCAGCCACATGTTCTACCAGATAAGCTACAAAGCTTGGTTCCTATCCAGGCCTAGGATTTACATTTAGTTGCTGGATTACCATACGCATCACGCAATCACATGACAGCTGAAGAAAACCCCCCAGTGATTGAAGTAAAGTCTTGTGTTAAAATGCAAGACTACCGTGTTTCGAAAGTTATGGTTTCTTAAAACAAATTAGAGTTGATTACATTGTGAATCTTACTTCATTCTGTGCTTTAATTCTTTCCATTTTTCGTCTATCAAGTTGGATCTTTTCAATACTTCTTTGTTTTTGTAAATCAGCTATTCTTTTTCCTCGTTTCAGAAAATTCTCCCAATTTCTTTGTGTATGACATAAGCGTAGTTCATGAACATGATTTTGTTTTTCGTGTGTTTTATGAATATTCTCAATGTGTTGGTGCAGTTTATGAATTTTTCTCCATAATCCAAGTGCTACACCAATCTTTAACAGAAAATAAGCATAGAAATGCATAAATGTTCAATGTAGAATGAAAATATTTCACAAGGAAATTAAGATTTTATTTACGTATAAGGCTTACTGTAACATCACCAACTTAGGTGTTATAGTGTACAGTCAAATTTCTTCAAGTTTTCTCAATCAACCAATATGCTTTATAGTTTCAAAAAAGGCATGCTTTCATATGTGGAAATACCAGATTGGTTGAAGGGGCAAAGCCAATAGGAAGTGTCCTATAGTGTCCTTCAAATAGTCAAGGTCATTTCAAACATATATATATATATATATATATATATATATGTATATATACCACTGTATTTTGTACTTGCTTCCTGTTTTACAATCCATAATTTCGATAGCGTGATTACAAGACAAAGTTTATCTGTACAATATATATGTGATGTATTTGTGCAATACACATTTCGAACAATCTAATCACACATTTACTTGTCAGTTCAATGTATATTAAACCGAGGAGTGGGGGGGGGGCAAATATAGCAATTACCACAGTAGGGGATTAAAATTAAGAAAGATGAGAACAAACAGGAAGTGACATAGTTGATCCTAATGTTGGTAAAAAAACAAAGTTTACCAAGCAACCTAGGTGTAGTGTACACGGACAAACTGTTTTTGTGCATATAAAGGTGGTTTAAATTTGTGTAAGGCCATGGCCTCCGCAAATCTTAGAATACATCCTTGACTGTTTCTATATAAAACTGTGAAAGCTATTTGAACATTAACGTTTTGACCTGTTTCTATGATGTGTTTAGCTGTAGATGATGCGGGTCGACTCCCACCAGTGTTTATCACGGTTTCACACTCCATTTGAGTATATGTTCTACCACCCTTAACTGCATGACTCGATTACTCCTACCTATATATATGTGACCACACACACATAAAAATTGGTAAACACAGTGGGGTATGACGTAATCATCAATGCAAGTGTGTGGGTTTTTTTCACAATGATAAGATTCGATGCGTTTTCTGAATGGATGATGTTAGCCGACGTCTCAAAATCATACTATTCAACTCCCCTTTGTATAGTAGAGCGATATGGACGCTTTTCTTAGGAATAGTGTACAGAGTTGGCTTCGGTGCTAGTTGACCTCTACAGCGGTTTATAAACTTCATCGGATATCCATTTTCCATAAGTGTTTTGGTCAGTAATTTGACATCTTCATCCAATATGTCTTACGTATTGATACGATAGATCCTATTCAACAGGCATTTTATCAGACCTCGCTTGTATTGAATGGGACAAAAACTGTGAAAATTCAGGTATCGTCCTGTTCATGTAGGCTTCGTGTAAATTGACCGTCTTATTGAACCATTTTCTTGTCGACTGAAGAGTACATCTAGGAATGTCAGTTGATTATTCTCTTTCTAACAAGTCAGGCTGAAGTAAGTTTGTACGGCGTTAGTTTAAAAATATCTTAAGTTGGTTTTCATGATGGATTGAAGGAACATTGGACACTTGTTTTGTCCTGGAACGGGATTTGTCAGAAGTACGTACTCATAAGCCTGCCAAGGACCGAACCCACGATGTTCGAGGCCCGCGACCAGCACGTTGCCACTGAGATACTCCGTCGGAACCCAACTTCTGTCAGTTCACGACATACCGCGGTCATAACTCAATGTTATCTCTGAGTATTTGTCCTCACGGCCACTAGGTTTTCCCGATGCTCCCAGGTTTCCAATGTACCTCCAACTGATGTCAATCCATGATGAAAACAAACTTACAATACAGCTTTGCTAATTTAGCTGAATGTTAGTTGGTTGGAGGCAATCGGCAGGAAACCCTGCCCGACCTAGGTTTCGCGTCTTTTGCCACTTACCAGTAAGGCGTATTAGTAATTTCGATGAGGCCTACCTCCAGCCTGAGGTTCGAACCAGCGTCACCCAGTACTGTCGTCAGCGTCTTTACCATTGAGCAGTTCGGGCAGCGACTGACCTCCTATAGGACTGGCTTACATGTTTTGATTGGTGACGGAAGTGTAACCAATTTCATGTTGTCTAGTCCTATTGATCATATTTACAACGTGGCGACCAAGCTAGGAAGCTCAGCATCATGGTGCACATTAATAGATGTTAGTTGGTTGGAGGCAATCGGCAGGAAGCCCTGTCTGGCTTAGATTTCGTGCTTTTTGGTATTCGTCAGCAATTGGTTGCATACCAGTGACCAATCAATACATTCGTTGAATCATACCAATCTAACAACCCTAACAAGATATAAATTGGTTAATGGAATGGGAAAAAAGGCTAGATTAGCTGTGTAACAGCTTGTGACAGTTTGTTTGAATTTACACTAAAGGAGACCATTAACACGTCACTGGAAACATTGCCATCAACAAACTCAGGCTAAAATGAAATTTTAAGTGAATAAGACAGTCTACCTGCCAATGGTTGAAGCCTATTTTAACGGTATTCACGCTGTATACTCATGTTGCATAAGGAACCTAAGGCAATCGTGTGAAGTATCATGGCCAGTTTTTGGTAATTAGAACATTAGTTGTAAATTTATTAGCATTTAACCACTTTCTCAGTCTGTAGAATTGTTCACACTGATTGAGGTAACAAATTGACCAATGATTTATTTCTTTAGATCGGAGGAATATGTCGATGAAAAATTTAACCTTTCATAACCTTGTTGATTGTTTTATGTGTACATTACATTATGGTCACTATTATTATTATTATTAGTCACTTGGGTTCCTAGTGGAACATACACATTCAGTAGCACGTCTCTATTCCACTCTGCTCTCTGCAATCTTTTGAACCTGGCTCCACCACTGCCCACAAACTCTCATTTATTCCTCACAACATCTCTTCCATATCACACTCAACTCTGATGCTCAACTCGTCGCTTCCCCTTTGGATTCCACTCGATGGCCTAGCCTGGTGCGTGATTTCCCTGAATGGTCTTCTCAGTGCATGTACAATCCAATCCATCTCCACTTCCTTACACTGCATATTTGTCGAGTGATAGGTTCTTGCCTCGTTGGTTCGTTGCCAGCCAGCCAGCCAGCCAGCCAGCCAGCCAGCCAGCCAGCCAGCCAGCCAGCCAGCCAGCCAGCCAGCCAGCCAGCCAGCCAGCCAGCCAGCCAGCCAGCCAGCCAGCCAGCCAGCCAGCCAGCCAGCCAGCCAGCCAGCCAGCCAGCCAGCCAGCCAGCCAGCCAGCCAGCCAGCCAGCCAGCCAGCCAGCCAGCCAGCCAGCCAGCCAGCCAGCCAGCCAGCCAGCCAGCCAGCCAGCCAGCCAGCCAGCCAGCCAGCCAGCCAGCCAGCCAGCCAGCCAGCCAGCCAGCCAGCCAGCCAGCCAGCCAGCCAGCCAGCCAGCCAGCCAGCCAGCCAGCCAGCCAGCCAGCCAGCCAGCCAGCCAGCCAGCCAGCCAGCCAGCCAGCCAGCCAGCCAGCCAGCCAGCCAGCCAGCCAGCCAGCCAGCCAGCCAGCCAGCCAGCCAGCCAGCCAGCCAGCCAGCCAGCCAGCCAGCCAGCCAGCCAGCCAGCCAGCCAGCCAGCCAGCCAGCCAGCCAGCCAGCCAGCCAGCCAGCCAGCCAGCCAGCCAGCCAGCCAGCCAGCCAGCCAGCCAGCCAGCCAGCCAGCCAGCCAGCCAGCCAGCCAGCCAGCCAGCCAGCCAGCCAGCCAGCCAGCCAGCCAGCCAGCCAGCCAGCCAGCCAGCCAGCCAGCCAGCCAGCCAGCCAGCCAGCCAGCCAGCCAGCCAGCCAGCCAGCCAGCCAGCCAGCCAGCCAGCCAGCCAGCCAGCCAGCCAGCCAGCCAGCCAGCCAGCCAGCCAGCCAGCCAGCCAGCCAGCCAGCCAGCCAGCCAGCCAGCCAGCCAGCCAGCCAGCCAGCCAGCCAGCCAGCCAGCCAGCCAGCCAGCCAGCCAGCCAGCCAGCCAGCCAGCCAGCCAGCCAGCCAGCCAGCCAGCCAGCCAGCCAGCCAGCCAGCCAGCCAGCCAGCCAGCCAGCCAGCCAGCCAGCCAGCCAGCCAGCCAGCCAGCCAGCCAGCCAGCCAGCCAGCCAGCCAGCCAGCCAGCCAGCCAGCCAGCCAGCCAGCCAGCCAGCCAGCCAGCCAGCCAGCCAGCCAGCCAGCCAGCCAGCCAGCCAGCCAGCCAGCCAGCCAGCCAGCCAGCCAGCCAGCCAGCCAGCCAGCCAGCCAGCCAGCCAGCCAGCCAGCCAGCCAGCCAGCCAGCCAGCCAGCCAGCCAGCCAGCCAGCCAGCCAGCCAGCCAGCCAGCCAGCCAGCCAGCCAGCCAGCCAGCCAGCCAGCCAGCCAGCCAGCCAGCCAGCCAGCCAGCCAGCCAGCCAGCCAGCCAGCCAGCCAGCCAGCCAGCCAGCCAGCCAGCCAGCCAGCCAGCCAGCCAGCCAGCCAGCCAGCCAGCCAGCCAGCCAGCCAGCCAGCCAGCCAGCCAGCCAGCCAGCCAGCCAGCCAGCCAGCCAGCCAGCCAGCCAGCCAGCCAGCCAGCCAGCCAGCCAGCCAGCCAGCCAGCCAGCCAGCCAGCCAGCCAGCCAGCCAGCCAGCCAGCCAGCCAGCCAGCCAGCCAGCCAGCCAGCCAGCCAGCCAGCCAGCCAGCCAGCCAGCCAGCCAGCCAGCCAGCCAGCCAGCCAGCCAGCCAGCCAGCCAGCCAGCCAGCCAGCCAGCCAGCCAGCCAGCCAGCCAGCCAGCCAGCCAGCCAGCCAGCCAGCCAGCCAGCCAGCCAGCCAGCCAGCCAGCCAGCCAGCCAGCCAGCCAGCCAGCCAGCCAGCCAGCCAGCCAGCCAGCCAGCCAGCCAGCCAGCCAGCCAGCCAGCCAGCCAGCCAGCCAGCCAGCCAGCCAGCCAGCCAGCCAGCCAGCCAGCCAGCCAGCCAGCCAGCCAGCCAGCCAGCCAGCCAGCCAGCCAGCCAGCCAGCCAGCCAGCCAGCCAGCCAGCCAGCCAGCCAGCCAGCCAGCCAGCCAGCCAGCCAGCCAGCCAGCCAGCCAGCCAGCCAGCCAGCCAGCCAGCCAGCCAGC